TGTTTTTCTTGAAGTGCTTTTTGAGAATTCTACTAAACATGGCATAGCTTTCATCCTCACTGGAGTTTTCATGTTCTTCTTCATTTGATGAGGTTTTGAATGCAATTTCACTTTTCTTTTTGTTTTCAACATCCTCATGTCCTTTCATGGTGATCTCATGAGTCATAAGGGAACCCATAAGCTCATCTAATCCAAGTGTGGAGAGATCTTTGGCTTTTATAATGGCGGTGACCTTTGCTTCCCAATTCTTTGGTAAACACCTAAGAATTTTTCTTACCAACTCACTGTTAGTATAAGTTTTGCCAAGAGATTTCAAAGAGTTTACAATTTCAATAAATCTAGTAAACATACTTGAAATAGATTCATCAGAGTTCATTTTAAACAATTCATAACTATGAATAAGCATATCAATATGAGATTCCTTTACTGGGTTTGTACCTTCATAAGTTACTTTAAGTTTGTCCCAAATTTCTTTTACCGAATCACAACTTGAAATTCTATTATACTCTTTAGAATCTAATCCACAAACAAGGGTGAGTTTGGCTTTAGTATTGGCTTGCAATAATTTGTGATCCCTCTCATCACATTCATCTTCAGTTTTAGGTACACTAATATTGTCTACTAATTTGGTAGGAATTTTTGGACCTTTGGTGACAATAATCCATATAACATAATCAGTGGCTTGTAGGTATAGGGTCATCTTATCTTTCCAATAACTATAGTTGTTTCCGTCAAATAATAGTGGCCTATTAGTGGCTTGTCCTTCAGTAGTGCTAGTGCTAGCTAAGGTTGCCATGGATCGAAACTCTTAGATGCTTAAATCTAAAGTAAGAGTCTAAGTTCTGATACCAATTGTTACCCAAAAGACAACCTAATAGGGGAGGTGAATTAGGTTTTTACAATTAAAATTAATAATACCCTAATAAAAATTATGACTAGCACAATAGATAAATATAATTAATGAAATAAAACTAATTAAAACAAGTGTCTTAACAACTATGTCAGTTAATGATTTTAGCACAGTAAAAATGTGAAATATAGTTATAGTAATTTAAAATAAATTAAAGAGATAGGGAGAGAGAGGCAAACAAATTTATAGTGGTTCGGCTTCAACTTGGCCTACGTCTACTCCTCAAGTTTCACTTGAGATTTTTCATTATCTTCTAGCTTCAAAGGGGTGCTAGCAACCTCTTTACAAATAAAGAAATCATTCACGAATTTTACACAGATTTTACAAGCCCAAACCCTTGCAAATCTTAGGTGATTCACAATCACTTTCAAGATTTCAAAAACACAATGTTTGTAACACTTTTACAAGATGAAATAGTATTTTTTATTTTAAAGAAAGCTTACAATAAATATCTCTCAAAGATAGACATATAAAATGAAATTTTAATTTTTCTATAAATCTCACACAAGAAAGATGAGTTTAATGTTATAAGGCTTAGTGTATAATTTTTTAGAATAGATGTGAGTGATTGTAGATTAAAGAATATTTTCAGGTTTTTGTAACTTATTTACATTAGAGGCTTTGGTATATATAATGAAAATTATAGCCATTTATAACCGTTTATAACTGTTGTATTCATTTGAATTTATAACTGTTTATAGCCGTTGTAGTCATTTGAATTTATAGCCGTTTATAGCCGTTGTACTTCCATCATTACCAATTTAAATATCTTCCACTCCATCATTACAAATTTGAATATCTTCCAGTCGAACCTTTTGAACATTTTGGTCTTTTGAACCTTTATAGTCGTTTATAACCGTTGTACTTCCATCATTACTAATTTGAATATCTTACACTTGAACCTTTTGGCCGCTGCTGTGCTAGGCTGTTTGAACCTTTGTTTTGGACTGTTTGAACTCCTGATTTAATCAAATATTAAATATATTCTAATAATATTTAGGATAAAGGTTTAGGTGAGAAATAATGGAATAAAATAAATTTTGATTATATTTTTCTCTTTCAAATAAATCATCAAAATTAATTTTGATTAAAATATAATTAAATAAATCATCAAAATAAATTTTTAATTCTATTTTTTTCTTTCAAATAAATTAAAACATAATTAAACAAATCATCAAAATAAATAAGTCTAACATAATTGTGAATGTGAGGACGAGTGAGTGAGTGAGTGTGTAAACTAAATTTTTCATTGGTATTTCCGATAAATTTATCAGTCCAAACTATGTTGCTCCCTTTGAGTGTATGTGTGGGGGTTATGTTGAGTGAATATGTAAATCGGCGCTGCTTGAGAGCCCGAATTTCGGGGCTCGAATGCCCCGAAATTTTCACTTTAGGTTAAAAAAAAAGAACAAAAATGAAAAAAAAAAAAAAAAGGAAAAAAGAAAGAAAAAAAGAAAACAGTTTCTAAAAATGGAAATTAGGGGCATTAGGGACAAATTTTTTAGGACCACCAATCATTTTCCTATGTAAATAAGTGAATGATAATATGTGAGTATGTGATGTGCGTGTAAATGTGAGTGACAAGTGAGTGTATGTGAATGAGTGACTTACTGGTCTCTCTCTCTCTCTCGCTTCCTTCTCCTTCCTCTTCAGCTTCCTCTTTCTTTTCTCTCGTCGCCACCTTAATCTAAGAAGAATTTTCTTGATCTAAAAAAAAAATATTCCCTTCATCTCAAAATAATGGTCTTTTTTGAAAAATTTAATTTTTTTTAATAGTACAATTATTATATTATAAAAATATTAATTTTTCAAAATTACTTTTTGATAGTACATTTTTTTGAGAATATCAATGGTCATAATTATACTTTTTGTGTATGAAATTAAAAGAATGACAAAATAAAAAATTTATATTATTTTAGTTATTTATTTTTGAAAAAAGACTAATATTTTAAAATAATGAAAGATGAAATAAATGACCAATATTTTTAAGACGGAGAGAGTATTAAACATCATATAAAAAAAAAAAAAAGCAAAAAAAAAAACTAAAGACCTAATTGCAAAAAGGACAAAGCAAGCAACCAAAGACCTAACTAATTGCAAAAAGGAAAAATATATGTCAGAAGTGGGATTTGAACCCACGCTCTCTCACGAGAACCAGAACTTGAGTCTGGCGCCTTAGACCACTCGGCCATCCTGACTGTATGGTTAGCTTGAACCATAATTTATATTTTAAATAATACTATTTTCAATAAGAAAGTAGACCTATTCAACTTACCTAACCAAATTTTAATGGCCCACAGCCCTCTCTATCCTCCGCTGAAAGTCAAAAAAAAAAAAAATTCCCAAAAAAAAAATATTCCCTTTTGATTGTTAAAAGTAATAAAGCACTTATATTAAAATAAAAGCTAAAAAATCATACAGAATAAAAATGAAAACAAGAAAGGACCAAATAAGAAAACTTATTGAAACTGCAACAACAAAATAACAAAATTCGCCAAAAAATCAGCAGTGATAAGAGAAAGCCACTAATCTACTCATAGATGTGATTTGGAAAATAAGATTTACAAATAAAAATAACTTAGTCCCACAGTCGCCAATTTTGTGTAGCTAGTGTTTATATGTCTATGATATATTATCAATAGAAAATTGGTATTTTTTTTTTTGGTATATGACATTAGGTCCAATGATTGTTTTGTTTTGGTAATAAGAATATAATTAAAAAAAAAAAAAAAAAAAAATTGGTAAAAAAAAAAATTATTGTTTTCAAAGTTTTTTTTTTGCATTTTTTCTCCAATACCATCCAGTCGCCGAAATGTCTCCAGAGGTGGTTAGTGGCAGCGATTGGTGGTGGAGATATGGATAGATAAATAGACTAGTAGACAAATAGAAAAATGACATATGAACAGATAACTGGACAAATAAGTGACGTGGAAAAAGTAGGTGAACAGTGAACAGGTAGAATGACAAATATGGTTCATATGATATTTTAAATTGTTATTGCCCATTTGGCCTCAAAATAATAGAATTTGAAATTACTACCTCAAAAATTTGAAAATTGGACATATGATCCTATTAGTAGAGGCCAATTGATACCACAGTTTTAAAGTGACATGAATCATACGTACTAAAATTATATTTGTTTGATTGTATTTTTATTTTTTCATTTTCATTTTCATGTTACACGTTTTTAATAATTTTATTTTTTAAAAAATCTACTATTTTTATAAAAATATATATTTGTGTGAGAATAACTTTTGGTAGTTTTAATAAGTTCATTGTCTTTTTGTTTTGTTTATTTAAAAATCACCAAAACAATTCATCAAACAAATTTTTTGTTTTTTGTTTTTTATTTTTGAAAAATGAAACCAAAAAGTGACTATGAAAACACAACCAAAACATTTGACACCATTCAACTCAAAATTTAGCTCAATATTTAATGGCAATCCCAGATTGAATTTTCCAGTTTATACAAGGAAGGAAGATGCTATTAGACATTATTCTGTATATATATATACGAATAATGCTTGGGACCCCCTTTTGGGGTCACCCCCTCACCCCCCCTTTGCCACGTGGCGGGTGGTGATTGGAGGAGCAGGAAAAAAAAGAAAAAAAAAAAAAAAATGTAACCAATGAGAGAGAGAGGGGGTCAGAAGGGGTGGCGGAAAAAGGGAGGATGAATCATTGTTGTATATATATATAATAAAATAACACTTTCCAAATGAAGAGGGTTTAATTGGAAACTAAAAACAGTAACTTTCCCCTACTTAATCCAAATTTAGCATTGAACATTAATAGGTTGCCTAAAATTATACTACGCATCAGTCAATCTAATAATACCATTGTTGCATTCACCATTAATAACAAGTCAATATATTTGCAGTGCAAAAATCATTAAATGGCCTCACACATACCGAATAATTACCGGAAAAATGCTCTAGAGGTGATCCATTGTAAGGGAATTAAACATTTTATAAAATTTAAATTTATTTACCAACTTACCTAAACAAAATCCAAAAACATCATCTCACTAAATCTAAATTTGGCAAGAAAGGTTAAAATGTTGGAACATTATTTAATACCCATTAAATACCCATCAAGCTTAATGCTTTTAAGAAACGTTTTTCCATAAACATTCATATTTTATGTTACTTTTTCAAATAGGCAGAGGTTCTCTCCTTCACATTATGCTTATAAATCTGTATAAAACCCCACCCATCATCCCATGGTTTTCACCATTCACATTCACAAGTAAACAAGCAAACAAACCCTCAAAAAATGCCCAAACCCCTTCAAAAATCTCTTCAAGACTACCTCTCCAAGATCAAAAAACCAACAACCCCACATATCCCAACTCATATCTCGTCTTCTACTAGTTGGATCCTAAGAGGTTGCAAGCACACCAAGACACTATCTATCTCTGTTGATCCTCATCTCAACAATGCTAATAATGATGCAGCAACCCTAGCCGACATCGATCGGTTCCTGTTTGAGAACTTCAAGTCACTATATATGAACGACGATGATGATGAAGGCAAGCAGAAGAACAAGAAAGGTGATGACGGTGGTGAAGAAAAAACAGGTGGGTTTTTGTTTGAATCACCTAGGCTTATCGATCCACCACCGGATCTTTGTGCCTCTCACCGGTTTTTTGTGGCAACCGACTCATCGAGTTCACTGATGGAGGAAGCTAGGATAAGTGCAACCACATCTGAGAACACAGGCTCGAGCTCCACCACCACAACCACTACCGCCGCAGCCACCGCCACTACTGGTACTAACGAGTACTCAACAACCAGAGTCAATGACAATGCTAATAAGCAGGTGATGGGTCCTGATGACTTTATAGCCGTGTTCACATACTCGCCTAGTCCATGCGATGATTTCAGGCATTCAATGCAGGAGATGATCGAAGCAAGGCGGCAATACTATGGAAAGGTGGATTGGGAATTTATGGAAGAGCTTTTGTTTTGTTACTTGAATTTGAATGACAAGAAAACCTACAAGCACATACTGAGTGCCTTTGTCGACCTGATCAGCACTTTACGTGAGAATTGTGGCAAAGTTACGGCAAGATCACAGCAGATTCGGTCTGCAGGCAACAGGAAGAAGTGAAAGGAAAAACTCTGTTCTTACATAAAAAGTTATAGAAATTAAAATTATGCTGCTGATCAATAATTGCCTTTTCTGGGTGATCATACATGACAAAGTTACCAAAAATTAATAAAATTTTCATTTACATAAAAAGTTATAGAAATTAAAATTATGCTGCTGATCAAATGACAACTGTTGATTTACATTTTCCTCTGCAAAAATAATAGAACAGACACTTCACCCAATCCAACCATCATATATATTTATGAATAAAATAACATAAAATAAAAACCATCATATATATATAGTACCAAGCACAGCCTCCTAAAGACGCTATCTAATCTTACCTCCCATTACCTTCCCTTGTTGAACTCTGCGCAATAATCTTCGGTATCTATTACTGTAAATTTCTTGTCTTCATCCAAGTTCTGGTCATTCAAAACTCTCTTAATCCACGAAAGCTGTTAAAGCTACAATCAAGGACTATCTTCATGTCTAATCGTCCAACAAATTTTCCAGGATTTGCTCTATCCCACTTATTGGCAGATGCAACGTCAGTTTTAAGCTGAAGTTCTGGTTCATTAAGCTTCAGAATTTGTACAATGGACCACCAGATTGTTGTTTCTCAAAATCTGGAAAGCAGCGACCCATAGCATGATAGAGGAAATGTTTCCTGAACTTTCTTGGCAGTAGTTACACCAAAAGAGTCATTCAGATTGAGATTGAGTTTGTTTTGCTTCCTTTTTCCCCCCACTTATTCATCTCACAATCACAAGTTGATTATTTATTTGTGCCCTAAAGTACTCTGCATATTAAAAAATTAGATATAAGTGTCCGTGTCAAGTCGCAAATTCAAATTAGCAAATCTGTTAAGGGATGAACACAAGTAGACCACAACAGAAAGTTTTCTTTGGCCCACCAAGCAAATTTTATCATTCGGTTGTTGAGCCTTTTTTAAATTAATAATTCCACTCTCAAAGGGTTTCTCATCTCACATCAAAATAAATGTTCAAAATGTATTAAGAAAAAAATATTTGGGCAAACTACACCAATAGTACATGCATTTTGCCTCATGTCAATTTGGTCCTTACACTTTCAATTAGCTCAATTTTGACTCTTATTTTTAGATTTTATGTCAATTTGGTCCAATTGATAAAGCCGACTAAGGTTTTTGATGAAAAACAGTCATATGAGTTTGTCGAGGTTAACTCACTGAGTTGAGTAAGTTCACAATTTTGCCTCTAAAAAAAATGACGAGTGCCGCTCACGTGCACATTTTCCATAAAAGAATGCTACTAAGCATAATTAGATAGACTAACTTGAGACAAAATCATAAATCTAAGATCAAAATCGAGCCAATTGAAATTATGACACAATGGTCAAAGTATAGAGACTACAGAAGTAATTTGCCCAAAATATTTTAATTTTTTTCCTGAATCCAAAACTACTTACAGTCAAATAGCAAAAGGATGCATTGACTTTTTAACCTTTTCGACTAGAAAATCCCAAAAAGTTGGGAATTAAGATAGCCACAATGGCTCAAAACTGTCAAAACGACGTCGTTTTGGCATGTTTTGCACCCAAAACGACGTCGTTTTGACAGTTTTGAGCCATTGTGGCTACAAAAATTGTGACCCTCTAGCATTGTTGATTAAAAAATTAGATATAAGTGTCCATGTCAAGTTGCAAATTCAAATTAGCAAATCTGTTAAGGGATGAACACAAGTAGACCACAACAGAAAGCTTTCTTTGGCCCACCAAGCAAATTTTATCATTCGGTTGTTGAACCTTTTTTAAATTAATAATTCCACTCTCAAAGGGTTTCTCATCTCACATCAAAATAAATGTTCAAAATGTATTAAGAAAAAAATATTTGGTGTCACGCCCTAGGCTTGCCCCTAAAAGTTTGGGCATGACCTAAGCAGAAAAGGACACTTAACCTGGTTCCATAGAGGGGCCTGACCGGAAGCTGTAAAAAAAAAAATACGTGATATAAACCAGAAAATATGACATCCATTGAGCTACTAAGTCATGCCAGGATCATAAACATTTCATAAGACAAGTACATCAAAAGCCAAAATACATTTAAGAGTTAGTTATTTACAGGCATATACAAATCCAACCCCGAGGTGGGGTATATAACAAAATCATTAAGTACATAATAACTTAAGCCAATAACAAAAGTGTAGCCATCGTCTAACAACTCCACAAAAGTAGGGTCCCGACCCCAAGCTTGGTTGTGCCTAGGCTGACAAAAGTATGACGATGCCGAGCTAAGATCGACCTCCTGGTTGATTACCTACAGAAACAGGCATAACACAGGGTGAGCCAAGCTCAATGAATAATAGTACTGGTATGCTTGTAAACATAATTAATGCTGAAATCATATAATCAGTCTGTCTCTGTACGGCTTGTTGGGACAACATAATCGGTTTATAATTGTCATAATGTGGCCCCGGGCCTAAGAACTTCACACATTCAGAAAAAGAGTCCTTGGGTTCATAATTTACAATTCATCACATAGACCTTTGGTTCTTTTCAATTCACAAACTTACAATAGTATAAGTTCATATTTCACACATCGGCCCTTGGCCTCATAATTTCATCATTCACAAATGGCCCTTGGCCACATTGATTCACAATTCACAAATGACCCTTGGTCACGTAGTTTCACATTAGGGCTCGTAGCCACATTGACTCACAAATGGCTCTAAGCCACATTGATTCATAAATGGCTCTAAGCCACATTGATTCACAAATGGCTCTAAGCCACATTGGTTCCCGAGTTCACAATTGCCTTGATACATTCCATTAGTCACAAGCTTTTACATAAGATATGTACAACTTCACAACCTTTTTCAATGTTTCCACAATTTCGTATTGAATCACTTATAGCAAATATATCATTTCATGCCAACACAAGTTTGATAGTGAAATTCGTAACGTCAAGATATAACGTCAATACATAATATGATAAAACTTTCAACAAGGGTCACAATGTCAATAAAAATAAATACTGAGTAGAGGTACATTGAAGTACTATTACTCACTGTGTTGTGTCGGTGCACTTCCTTTTGAGGCGTTTCCTACACACATGAAAAATCACATTAGTCCCTTTTTTCCTTGTTAAATCAACATTCGGTTCACTTACTTTGATTGAATTAACGAACATTCAAACAATATAAATTGCAGGTTTTGACAACATTAGAGGACCCAACATACAAAACGGAGCATCCCAACTTTTCTGACTTGAGCCGCACGTGCGGCTAGGATCTCCCGCACGTGCGGCACACCTCCCGCACGTGCGGCATTGAGGCCCCGCACGTGCTTTTTTTGCAGTGTTGAAGTCCAAAATTTGCCATTTTCCCGAACGTGCGGCAGTGACTCCCGCACGTGCGGCTGAGGTTCCCGCACGTGCGGCCTTAGACCCCGCACGTGCGGCGATTCTACACCAAAAAGTCCGAAAATTCTGCACAATTCCCTCCTCTTGTAGACATGTTTAGGGCCTCAAAAATCTACCTTTAAATTACTAATATATAAGCTCAAAGCATATGAATACATGTGAACAAGGATCAAATTACATCTTTCATTTGAGTAAAAATCAAAACATGAATCCACAACTTAAATTTACTCCAATTCACAAGATTCCTACTTGTTCTCACATCTCAACTCATAAACATAAAATCATGTCACATACTTGAATTCAAACAAGTTAATTAAAGAAATAGAGTAAGGCCTCTCATAGGTACTTCAAACTGAGTCAAAACATGCAAAGTAAGGTCATTTTGCTAATTTACTTCTCATACTCACAACACCACAATCCCAACTCTTAGGTACAAGATTATAGAAACATCTTCACATAAATTATGACAAGAAGGGTTGTGGATGAAAATTAGACAGACATTTACATACCTTAAGCCCAAATCTCAACCTTCTTGAGGACCTTCTTTCTCTACCCCTTCAATTCTTAAGTTTAGAGTTATGCATTCCTTGGCTTGTCAAATGACCAAGAACACTCATATATATATCCATAAAGAGAGAATGAGACAAAAATCAATCGTTTACACATCCGAAAATTGACATTTCACAGAAGTGCTTAATATTACCTAAAAATTATGCTGGTTCCAAATATATGATCAATTTTGACTTATTAAGCCGCTAAGGCCCTCAATTTCTACTTTATCGTTCTAGTAGTAACAGATACATTTCTTTCCTAACAGATACAATTCATTTCACAAGGCATTACAACATAGTTACTTGAACTTATTTTCTTGTACAATTTCATTTTAGGCATTTAACAGCACAGAATAAAGGACTAACATACATCACAAGCACACATGAGGGTCGGGTTGTTACATATGGGCAAACTACACCAATAGTACATGCATTTTGCCTCATGTCAATTTGGTCCTTACACTTTCAATTAGCTCAATTTTGACTCTTATTTTTGGATTTTATGTCAATTTAGTCCAATTGATAAAGCCGACTAAGGTTTTTGATGAAAAACAGTCATATGAGTTTGTTGAGGTTAACTCACTGAGTTGAGTAAGTTTACAATTTTGCCTCTAAAAAAAATGACAAGTGCCGCTCACGTGCACATTTTCCATAAAAGAATGCTACTAAGCATAATTAGATAGACTAACTTGAGACAAAATCATAAATCTAAGATCAAAATCGAGCCAATTGAAATTATGACACAAGGGTCAAAGTATAGAGACTACAGAAGTAATTTGCCCAAAATATTTTAATTTTTTTCCTGAATCCAAAACTACTTACAGTCAAATAGCAAAAGGATGCATTGACTTTTTAACCTTTTCAACTAGAAAATCCCAAAAGTTGGGAATTAAGATATCTGCCAAAGGACATAATCCCATTACTTATGCCTCTACTCTAGTTTCACCTAGGTATGATAAACAATGGACCGGGGCTAGCCCAGTTGACCAAAACCCCAGCACTTCACTAGAAGGTCAAGGGTTTTAAGTCTTGCCACCAGCAAAGCTATCCCCTTCCTTAGGCCCCCTCTCTCCAGGCCACAGCCTCCAATGTATCAAAAAGGCACAAAAAAGCTATAATTTCAACTTTTTATATGTGCCTATCATGATTCAATATTTAATACTAGTGTTTATTCTCTTTATAGCATGGATACTAATGGCTCCATCAAATATGTATATTTTAATCCTGTTAAAAATGTCTCTCTTTGATACTCATTCATTTCACAATACCCACCAGATTACCTCTGTTTGGATGTTTACTTATGCTGTCTCCAGGATACTGAAAGTGCAACATCAAGAAATATATCCAATTTATAAGCACTTCACAAGGGAATAATTTCTTACTTCATATGTCAACTTCGTCATCACTTCTTCTAAGGTACTGCTCATATAAGGAACGATACTTTGCAGGGATATAATCCTTGAATCTGTCAAAAATGGCAACAAAAAGATTGAGATCTTAGGATGCTAAGATAAGCAGATAAAAGAATTTCTACAAATATAGTTACTGACTATGAAAGGAAATTCATAGATAAGGAGACAATGGAAATATAGGGAAGAGAAAAACTCAAACTGCAGAATAATTTGTAACAGGAAAGAAATAATAGAGCTCCTACTGTTTTATTTTGTTTTTAAAGCGAGCTCAAAAGGAACTAATTGTCACAGATTCAGGTGCTGCATCCAAAATAATGAAGACAAAACCTTGCTGAATTAAGATGAACAGAAAGTTATATCAATTTAATATACAGGAATGCTAGAGACCCACAATTTAAATCCCAAAATTCAACCACAATAACATAGCAAGGGAGTTGGGCCTTGCATAATTGAGTTTGTGACAAATCAAAAGTTGACATGTAACTTGCCATCTCATTGTGGGTAAAATTAGGGGCGATCTTTTCAGGGGTCACACATTTTCCTTCAATATAACAGGAAGAAGAGTAGGCATTGGTAATTGTGATGCCTTTGGTGTATCAACTGCCAACTACTGACTGAAATTACAAAGGAGGGGGGCAAAGAGTGCAAGTGCAACTACAAACACATGCAAACAATGCATTTAACTTCTTTTTTTTTTAAGTAATGACGGAAAATAGTGAGAATACATCCAAAAAGAAGTGAGCTAAAATTTGATAAACTCCTTATTTATTGAATCAGCATAAGCAACATGCTTCTAAGAGTACCCCCAACAAAATCTAAACAAAAGAAAATAATTACCCAGCAACAGAAACCCTAAGGTAGATAAGTAGATCTTGCAACAAACAAAAGCTGTGGGATGTATTGTGTGTTTATACTTACGCATCTATTGAGTTATATCACATATCAATTTTATTTAGTGAAGGGCTTAGTCATTCTGATGATCATATGATAAAGTACAAACAAAATGAAAAAATCAAACTTGTGCATCCGATACACCAACTAAAAATGCTCCAATTACAGGGATCTGATAGCACAGGACAGAAGAGTTGGGATGTTGCAACCGAAGATTGCAGCAGATGCAGCAGCAGATATTTTTCATACTAATTTCTCAGGAACCCAATGCAAGAAATGGATAAGTTACATATCAAGATTGATTTTTAAACGTTATAGAACTGTTACTCAATATGCATAGCACTCTTACCTTTGAAGAAGAGGGATTCTATCTGGAAAAGAGAATAATCCCACAATGCATTGCAAAACTTGACCTATCTGCATGGCTTTAGACTTGAGTGCCTTCATGAAACCCACAAATTCTTTATACTCTACATCGTTAAGCTTCTCTTTAACCTGTAAGGCTCATAGTTTAAACAAATCCATCAAAAACTGTTCTTTGACATCCAAAGGAATATTGAATATAGAAAGAAAACATCAAAGTACATATTGAATTATTTGTCTAACAATATTCCAGATCAGAGACAAAACTAAAAGTTTTAATATCGATGGTCAAGCACCATTGATGAAGAGAGAAAGAAAACAAATTGCTTTATTTCCATGTCAGCAACCAACACAACAATATCAGATAATTTTTCCCACCAACACCTGCATAAAAATTCATCTTATTTCAAGGGTACCAAGTAGGACAACTCAGAACTATCAGAGAGGAAAATGTTATTAGACTACCTATTGGCCACACTCATTCATCTACAATGTGAGAAACCAAGGCTGCCATAGCATGATAAACAGAAATCAAGATATCAAACGAACAGTGTAGATGTAAGGTTCAAATCTCATTATTGACCAAAAGATAGTTGGAATACTTAACCTGTATCAAAAAATCAGATCCCCTTCTTTCTTCATCACAAGGTGCAGGACTCAGCAGAACAACCTTGTTTTTCTGATTCAGAAATTCCGTTCTCTTTCTTTGTTCAATCATCTCATTTCCAAGCTAGTGTTTATTCTATTTATAGCATGCATTTTTGAAGCTTCCGTAATCATTAACATGTGATTTCTCATGTTTCACCGAATCGTTTATGGTAGGTGCATTGCTCAGTTGTGCGTCACTGACAATGTATGAAGGTTCATCAGAATTCCCAATATGTTGCAGTGGATCAAGCTCTATTCTAGGCTTCTTCGAAGAACATGGCACGATCAGTTCTCTACTTGTTTCTTCATCCGCTGAAGCATTGCAAGTCAAATCTATTAAATGATTTATGTTACGTTTACTTTTCCTCCCAGGAATTAACAATTTTTTCTCATTGCAAAGCAGATCACTTGAATGTTTCCAGGTTAAACTCTGAATTTGCTTGTTGGAAGTTAGTGAAGAACGATTAGCAGGAAGAATTCCTCCCCAATTGCTAAAACTTTTCCCTCCTTTAACCTGAGATATAGAAGATGATAACTTAACAGAGCAATCTGAATCCACTGGTGTGGTCTGCATACAAATCCACCAGCACAAAAGATGTTAACAGTGTGAATTGAGAAAAATCACAGATAAGTTTTATTACCGTGAATTATGAGTTTGCACTAAAAAAATCAAATAATTACCAATGGAGCAAGAAAGTTTTCTAAGTGAAGTTTGTCCATAGACTGGGGTGTTTTCAATGTGTTCACATTTCCTGGAACAGAACATAAACAAATCATTAGCCATGACATTTTAACCAATAAATATCTGAAAGACTCACACTTGAAATACAAATTGCAGGACATTTGGGTTTGGCCCCAAAAATGATTCAGATTATTGTAGCAAAAAATAGCCTTTAGGTCACCATACAAGCATACATAAAATACAAACTTTCAGTTGCTGAATTAAGTTGTTTCAAGATCTCAACAAACAAAACATAGCAAAGCTCACCTTGCTTGGTTTAACTCATTTTTTGGAAAATTGAGCTTTTGTTTTCCGTATTGTTTTGTTTCTAATGAATTTTTTTAATATTGTAAGTAAAATTTTTATTACTTGACCTAGATACATTTAAAAAATATAATATTTATGGAAAAAAAAATTGATTCACCAAATACAAAAATTCAATATATTTTCATATTTCTGTGTATTTATTGAATTTTTTAATTATTTTTCCACAAATATTTTAATTTTTATTTAGGTTAAGTGCATCTAAAAAATAAAATAAAATTTGCGTAAATATTAAAAAAATCAGTAAAAAAAAAAACACGAAAAACAAAAAACTCAATTTTCAAAAAATCAACCAAAACCAAAGCCCATTTCCAAATAGTATTCACCATAACCAGGAAGAAAAAGTAGTATAACTGTTGGAGTCATTTTTGCTGGGCCTTTATTCCTTTAAAATGTTAACTTTAAATCTTATTAGAACTGGACTCAAGGAGTTGATCCATTTGATACTATTCTGTAAATTATTTTGAATCAGGATTTGGAACCATGTTTTACTCTTGGATTTATTGACCAAATTCAACTTGTTGGGAGGGGTCAAAGAATGCTTTTAAAGCCACTAAACTACTTTTGTATGGAGAGAAAAAAAAAAACATAGAATTCATATTCTATTAGTGGAGGTGAATTCCTTCATATTACAATTTCATTTGGAAACTAACATATTTAAAAAAATCTCGGAGACTAATGTATTTCCCAGAACAATTTGAAATATACTCACAAGGAATGCTGATCTCAATACAAAATGTCATGAACAAAAACTAGAAGAAAATTGAAATGAATTGTAAAATGAATGAAACCATTATTATGTTTTAGCTAAAAGATGCTTAACCGTGGTCTTCACTTCGTGTCAGTTCCAGCTTTGTAGGACCACGAGTTACTCCATCTCGGAAAAAACGTGTCAATGTGAAAACTACATCCCCAAATTTGGAGTAACACTGCATGGATAATACTGTGTAAGTGCGAGAGGTTCTCGGACCACAAAACTCAATTTGACCCCACAAAATGTACCTTGATATGAGGCTGTATCCAAAGTGATATCTGCGACTGACGACTTGGATGTGCAAACCTATTTACAACACAGAAGGTGAAGAAAAAACTAGATTACTTTAACGCACAACACTTGTTAGCAACCAGGAGAATTATTGTCATATAAAAGGAAACCATCCATATGATCACACATTTTACTAATTTTCTGTAGTCCTTATTGCAGATAACTGAATTAAAACTTTAAAGATTTCATGCCTTTGCAGATCTTTTGCAGAAGTTTGACATTTCAATAGGAACCACTGAAAATGTGTAGATATGTGATCTGCACTGCCCCTTTCCAGTAGAACCGTAAGCAAGCCAAACCAATCTGAGCCAAATTGACCTTTGGCATGTTCAAGCTTAGCTTGCTAAACATTAGTTGAGCTCAAGTCAAGCTCAAGTTGAGACTATATAATCAAGCTCCAGCTCCAGCTCAAGCTCAGAAAAAAGCATCAACCTAAATTAACATGCACTAATGCAAATCAAGAAGAAAGAGGGGGCAAAAAAATGAGCAAAATATAAAAGAAAGCTCATATTATTAATAAGTTCATCAATCAATTATGTAAGACAAAAATAATAATAATAATAACAATTATAATAGAAATAATTGACTTATTTAAAATAAGAAAATAATTTATATATTCTTATATTCACAAGCTTATTCTAGCCGAGCTTGGTTCTACTAAAGCTCAGAATGATTACTAAATGAGCCTACAAATTTGACTCAAGCCGAACTCAAGCGGCTCATGAGCAGCTCAGTTCATTAGCAGTCCTACTTGCAGACTGCAGGGGTCAAGCACCTTATTGTGTTTTGACATATCCTAACCACCTTACTGCGTTTTGAGATATCATAACGAAACCCCTAAATATCTGGAAAATTGGTGACTGTCTCATGACCAACCTTCCATTAATAGAAGTAAGAACTCCCTTGCATCACAAACTTTACAAAGCATCACCAGGTCTTCCTTAGAGCTCTAGTACTCCACTGCCCCTCTCTCTCTCTCTCTCTCTCTCTCTCTCTCTCTCTCTCTCTACAAAGCATCACCAGGTCTTCCTTAGAGCTCTAGTACTCCACTGCCCCTCTCTCTCTCTCTCTCTCTCTCTCTCCCTCTCTTAACTGGACTGCTCCATCTCTCTCCCAGTCATCTCCTTGTCTTTGATACCTCTGACATGTTTTCCAGTCTCTGGCAAACCTTGTACCTCAGATCAGTCCCTTCCACTCTCTTGAAGTTGATGGAAGTTTAAGTCCATGATTTCAAAGCAGGTGGATAGTGGCTAACAAAAGGTAAAGCTGATACAAGGTGTACAGTGTACTCAAATACAAGATACTTCAAAATTTTCCAAACAAGGTTGTTTTGATAATATATGCATGATTCCAACAAATTACGATAATAAAGATCAACAAAAATAATAAATTTTAGGTGCTATAAACTAGTCAGAGGGGAGGGGACACAAATAAGTGGCTGCATTTTAATGCATTAGCCTTTTGTTTGTTTTCTTTCTTTTTTGCTATTAACTTAGCATATGCCTGCATTTTGGTGAAAGTTCCAGCATTACGTTTACCCAAAACCAACCTTTCATCACAAAATATAATTGCTCCATAATCATGGCGATGACGAATGACACGACCAACAGCCTGATTCACAGCCCGTAAGGTCTGTTGACCATACCACTCCTCTCCAGTCAGAACCTGCAACTTTTATGTGTAGTTTAAGTACACTTTCAAATAAATTATAAATGAAAAAAATAAAAGCGTAGTTGAAGTAGTACAAATTTTGTATTATAAATGTGACAGATTACTGAACGCTAGAATTCTGGCCTGTGTCTGGTGGTCAAAAAAACTACCTTGCATCCCATCAGTTGTGACTGTGTGTGTTGATCCAAGTACTCCCGTTTTAAACGAACCTGCCACACATTACATCAAACATATAAAATTCAGATAATAGAATGGTAACGCATGACAGAAAATTGCACTTCAATATGAAGAAAAAACACAGCTATTAGAATAAAACTTACATAACAAATTAAAATTGGATAGTTTACATCCATATCTTTCAAATCAACAAAAAACTATCACATATCACAATGAGGAGGTAAAACCAATACAATGTCATATTTCTGAACTTATTGCTCGAAATAAGGATTGAATGCAGTATCATATTTGCGTAAAATAATTTGAATAATATGGACTTTAGTTACCAAGGTAACTACTTTGACTCTGAAAGTAAAAACAATCCACACTACTAAGGAATTCACAAGCATTACTAGGTATTAAAAGGTTGACAACGCAAATTAAGGCCACAATAAGATAACCAAACCCTGGCACAGAACAGAAACTTAAAAGATAAATAAAATAATCGTACTTATATCTTTGAACATCAACAATTTCACCTAAAAGGAACTGCAACTAAAAAAGTTGGGATTATGGTTTCCACTATGCCACATCAGATATAACAAAATTAAGATGCTTTTATACAATAACAGTAGCTTCCAAAGTAAGTTTCTTTTACTAATGATACAGATATCTCAGGACACTGATACAATTCAAATTCACACAGATGACAATAATCAAGAAAAAACAGGCAGCAAGACAATCAAACCTTTGGATCAGTCATCGTGGCATATGGCATTCCAGTGATAACCACAGCTCTTCCAGCATGGTCTGCAAAATCTAACCCTTCACTTACCTAATAAAATAAAGGCAATTAGCCATGGTACAAAAATGGAACTGAAAGATTGAGGCTACAGCAGGCATAAGAATATACAACTTTGCAGCAAACTTCAGCTTTCAAAAGTATCAAAACAAATATCCATTAAATGGGTAAGCATCTTTAAAAAAAATAAAAAACAAGAAGGTACTAGGTTTTCAGAAATATTACAAAAAATTTGAAAGATCCCAAACTTGTCATCATCAATAAATTCACCCTTAACATGCGTGACATGACTTCAGCTTTCAGTGGTACCTTAGATTTGCAGAAGCCAGCATTTCTTACTGATGACTAAGCAGCATCAACTGCATATATTTGGGTATACTGAAACCCAAGGAATTAAAGAACATTGATATATCAGAAAGAAAAACCAAGCAATTGACACAAGTTATAGCACCTATGTGCAGGACATAATTCCCAAGGAGAACTATTTTCATGCTGTTCCCAGCGTGATGAGTTGACCTCAGGGCAACCCTGCGCAGGGACAGACCCAGAAAATTATTTTAAGAGAGTCAATATAAATTTAAGAAAAATATTCAGCACAAAAAATTAGATTTCTTATAGTGAAGGGATTTTTCTATTTATGTTTTGGCAGAAGTTGTGTTGAAATTTTGATATTTCTACTTGTAAGTTGCAAAATTTTACTGTGTTTCCGTAGTAATACTGTTTGTGAAAGCCCAGTCATATCAAATAATTTTTTAAGAACAATTAAAAATAACTTCCATGCAACATGTACGTACATAGGTCCAACAACGTTGCCACGTCACCACATCAATGACTTCTCTAACAAGAGCATCACATATCAGCCTCAAGGAGTGGCAGGTGGACTAATTGTGCATCTCTAATACTCCCCTTGGGGAGTAAAGATCAATCAGTCAAGACTCAACAACGATCAAGGACACTTGGCCTTGCCCCTAGATCAGCCAGGAATTCTCCACTAGGCACTCCCACTCGGGCAAGCCTAACACCCACTCGGTCTACTTGGATCACCAGCAGTTCCATCAAGCAGTACCTAGACAGAGAGCAGGGCCTAAGTACGCCTCACTCAGGATCACCAGAGGGCTTATGAATTGAAGGTTAGAGTTTAAGGATTCACCAGGGCAGCTTGGCACCTCCTACTCGAGGCAGGGCATGGTCAGACAAGTCTTAGAAAGGGAGAGACCTTGACCAAGACATTTGATACCTCAAAGGCTAAATCATACCTAACACTGAGTTGCTCTAACATATCCCAAAATGGGTGTATCATACCTACCCAGTGTTAATACATCATATGCTCCCCAAGACTTATGCTTAGGGTGGACAGTTGACTGAAGCTACTACCACTTTGTCTAACCAAGAGGGTGGAGCGACCTATCCCAAGCTGAGTTGCACCTCATAGCTCGACCACCCTATATAAGGAGGCCTCTCATGCATGCAGCAGAACCAACAATCACCACCTTCTCCTACTCCCCCAAATAAAACACAGAGCTCTCCATTACCACCAACTCTCCCTCTCCTAAACCTGTGTTGGCTCTCTCCTCCTCTGCCTCTGGTGACGCCAGCCAAGTGAAAGCCTACCATCTTCTCAGAGGGCTTCCCTCAACCACCTCACGAACCATCACGCACATAACAACGCAAGAATTGGAGTAGGAACATGAAAAACCATTAGAAATGTAACTATAAATGATGCTAAAAGAACCCTAATGTCTTCATAACTTCTCAACTCCCTTGTTTGTGTAATAGCATCAAGGATGAGAATAGTGCTGGCTGAGTTCGTTCCAATATGTAGTTTCTGTTTAACAAATCTTGTGATTTATGTAATGAAGGCTTCCAAAGGCCTTTTCACAGTCATAAGATTTTAAAATGCTTCTAAAGCAACTAAACATAATGTAAAAATTTATGTATTATTGATTGATGTTTATTGATATCTATTACAATGATTCATGATTCCTATATATAGAAGAGGTTGAGTGTGTAGTAGGTAAGGAGTAGGTGAAGTGGAGGTGATAGTGGTGTAGTGGGTTAGGTTTAGTGGAGTAGGTGAGGTGGTAGTGGTGTAGTGGGTTAGATTTAGTGGAGTAGGTTTAAGTGGGTGAAGTAGGTGGAGAGTAGGTGGTTTTTAACACATAACCTTATAGTCATGGTTGTTAGAATTGTACAATTCACGATTCAATATGAGTTTCAACAAAAATTGTTCGAATTGTGCTATTGAATTGGAAATTGAGTGAATCGTACGATTCATTGCAATTCACTACAATTCACTGTGATTCAATTCTATTTCTATTTGTGATGATGCATGAAATAACATCATTTTCGCCAAACTATGACAATATATAGAAGAAAATAATTAGTTATATTGCTATATGTGATTTTATATGCATATACATAATTTAGTCGTATTGTTAATTTACTTATTTTTTTATGTATATAAATATATAGAATTATATATCATATTAAATAGAATGAATGGAGACAATGAAGAGGTACAAAGATCGTGTGCTGGATCTGAAGATTGAGCAAAAGATACTCATTGTTCAGGTCGATGAGAGATCTCACCGGGAGGTAGTGGAAATCATTGAAAGGAATAGGCATAGAAGTTTCACATTGAAAATTGATCTAGGAGGGGTCTTCTGGGTATCGTAGGTCCTTCAAGATGTTGGAACTACGAGTGCGGTGGGGCAGTTCTTCAGAAAGTATACGAACAGTTCTGCTGTCTTCTGTCTTCAGAGTTATTCTAATAGGAGAGGTGAATTTGTGGAGTTATCCAAGTGGGTTGCTAGGATAAGAAGATCAAGCATTATCATTCCAGCAGGGGTCAATCGACAAGGGTGGAAGGATGTGGCTAGGTTACTTGATACAATCTTATTTGGAACAAGGCGGAAGAACCACGTTAGAGGTACTGAAGACAAGGATGCAGGAAAACAGGTAAGACATATGGCCATGGCAAATGATCTTGGCGATGATGTTCAGCAAAATGGGGCAAATAAGGAGGTACATATAGAGGACTTGAGTCCTCAAGTGAAAACAGGGGTAAACAGAGGTAGGTCGTATGCGGAGGTTCTTAAGCTTCAATCACCATTTTCAGTATCAAATGATTCTTCCTTAGTTCTCCATCAGGTGGTGGTGTGTGAGAGAACAGATTTTTTCATATGTTGGGAGCAAATCGAGAAGGAATTATGTAAGTCTTACAAGTTATCTATCAAGCTTCGTCCCTTTCAGTTGAATCGAGCTTTGTTCTTCACCAAAACCAAGGAGATGGCTGTGTTCTATGGGGATAAAGGTTTGCAATTTTTTGAAAAAGGTATTGCAGTAATATTGGAAAGGTCGTCCGATGAGAAGCATAGGATATCTAATGTTATTGCCTCATATGGAGGATGGATTACTATTTGTGACATGCCGTTTAATTTATGGAATACAAGGATTTTTGAACAAATTGGTGCGAAATGCGGAGGGCTATTAGCAGTGGACAAAAGAACCAAGACTTTTGAAAATCTTTTTGAGGCAAGACTGAAGGTGAAAGGATCGACTTCTGGGTTTTTACCATCAACCGTGGAGATTATGATGGATTAAGGAGCAATCACAGTGCGTGTGAAGTCGCTTTCAAAAGCTGTCAAACGCAGAGAGGGTCTTCGGCAATGGAGTTTCCGGCATGGGTTTTCATCGGAGCTTGGCGCCAGAGGTAGGGAAGATGATAAGGTTGAGGTAACAGTTGGGACACGTGGCTGTCTAGTTCCCAAGAAAGTTGGGGTTCATGAAGAGGCTCATATTTTTGACTCAAGGAATGTCAACGATGAGGGGAGGTCAAGGGGTGATACAGTTTGTATTGAACATGGGCTAGTTTTTCAGGGCCACAGATCAGGAGAGGATTTTTTAGGTGGAGATGGGCTGATGGGTGATCTTGGGCCTAGGCCAGATTTGGGCCTCTCTCATGCATCAAACAAAAAACAGATTGGTGGTGATGAGGGTATTAACATGGGCTTAAATTGCACCCATAATTTGGGCCAAGATTTTAACCAAGTGGGAGATGGTCCATCAGGCCATAAAAGTCTTGATCATAACCTGAGGTATGATGGGCCTAACCCAGATCACTCGGGTATTTCTGTCTCAAGTTCGAAACAAGGGCTTTGTCGGGTTAGGCAGACGATGGGTATCTCCGATGGTGAGGATGACAGGACCTAGATGTAGAAATTTAATGTATAAAGAGAAATGATTGAGAGATTGATGTGTTATATCTTTTACAATGATTCATGATTCCTATATATAGAAGAGGGTGAGTGTGTAGTAGGTAAGGAGTAGGTGAAGTGGAGGTGGTAGTGGTGTAGTGGGTTAGGCTTTTCCATGAAGAGGAGGTTCCATTTTCCTCTTGTAATCAGCACACTGTGGGGACTAAGGGTGAGGTAGTCTTTGACTCTGGTGAAAAGGTTTGTGATTCTTTTGACAGGGACGACATGAATTCTTCACCTCCTTCTCATATTCAGGGTATTCATTCTATGTCTGTTAGGGGAGGGCTGGTGGGGGAGTCATCTGTGGGTATAATGGTTTCTAACAAGAATGATAATTGGCCTCTGTTAAATACAAATAGAAACTCTACCAGTGGCAGTTTGAATCCACATGCGAGTAACATGGACACTCATAGAAATGATCTTTTAATGGAGGAGTCTCCTAATCATAGGCTCCAGAGGAACAATGTTTGTGGTCACGATGGTGATGAGTCTGCAAAGTGGTTAAGGAAAATGAGTAAGTATGTGTACTTTCCTTTGGAGGAGGATGATGTGCCTCACTTTGCACAATTACTTGACACTCTTGGGCTGGCACTAGTCAGTAAAGGTGGGAAGAAGTTTCGGTCTAGGAGGGAGGGGTTTACATTTAAGGGGGGTGGTAGTCATAGAGATTCGGGGTGAAAGAAAGGGTTGAGGGAATTAAGAAACCTTAAAAGTAGCATCAATTATGAGGGTTAGGGGAATAAGACAAGGGGTGATGATGGTTCTCGATGAAGATCGTTAGTTGGAATATTAGAGGACTAGGGTCTCGTAGGAAAAGGGACGTAGTTAAAGAGGCTTTGAAAATGCAACAACCAGACATGGTGATGTTTCAAGAGACAAAGTGTAAGGAGTGTGATAGGATTTTTATTAGGAGTGTTTGGGAGACTCGATTTAGGAGATGGGCTACCTTGCCTTCTACAAGGAGATCCGGGGAAATTTTGATTATGTGGGATGACAGAGTTGTATTGGAGTGTGAGGTAGTTGTTAGGGTATTTTCATTGTCTATTAGGTTTAGAAATAGGGATAACAAGGAATGGTGGCTGACAAGGGTTTATGGTCCTAATAAACCCAAGAGTCGGCGGGACTGGTGGGATGAGTTGGCAGGATTATTTGGGCTTTGTTCCCCTAATTGGTGTGTGGGTGGAGATTTCAATGTGGTTAGGCTCGCTTCGGAAAAACTCAATGGGGTTTCCACCAGTAAGAGTATGCGGGACTTCGATTCTTTTATAAGGGAGTGTGAGTTGATTGATTTTCCCTTGAGTAATGCACGGTTCACCTGGTCTAACCTTCAGGAAAATCGGGTGTGTTGTAGGTTGGATAGGTTTCTTCATACTTTAGGGTGGGAGGAGTTATTTCCGGACATACGGCAAGAGGTAGGGCCAAGAGTTGTGTCAGATCATTGTCCTGTGATTCTTGAGAGTTGTCCCTTTAAATGGGGTCCCACCCTAAATCCCATTTAGGTTCGAGAATATGTGGTTGGAAAATCGATCTTTTAAGGAGTTCTTTAGGGATTGGTGGGAAAATGGTAGAGTCCATGGGTGGGAAGGGTTTAAGTTTATGCAAAAGTTGAGAGGAGTCAAGGATAATTTAAAAGTTTGGAAACGTGAAGTTTTTGGGGATATAGGTGTGGTGAAAGTGGGTTTAGTTCGGGATATTGAGGAATTAGATGTGAAAGAGGCCGGGGAGGGTTTATCTGTAGCGTTAAGGGATAGGCAGTCAATGCTTAGAATGAAGCTGGAAGAGATCGTTTTTAGGGAGCAGATTTTTTGGGGTCAAAGAGCTAAGTTGAAATGGGCTAGAGAGGGGGATACCAACTCTAGATTTTATCAGAGTTGCATCGGGAAAGAGGAAGAAGAGTTTTATAAAAAACTTGGTAGTGGGTCAGAATGAGGTTGTGTGTAAGGAAGAACTTATTGTCTAGGAGGTTTTTAATTTTTATTCAAATTTATATTCTGATATCGTCTAGGGATTGTTGGCATTAATTGGGCTCCAATGGAGTTAGTGACGGCTAGTTGGCTTGAAAGGCCCTTTGAGGAGGATGAGATAAGACAGGTTGTATTTGAGTGTGAGAGAGATAAGGCTCTAAATCCGGATGGTTTTTCAATGGCCGTATTTTAAGATTGTTGGGATATTATAAAAAGTGATCTCTTGAGAATGTTTGGTGAGTTCTTTGGGAGTGGGAAGGTTAATTTGTGTACCAACGCATCCTTTATTTGTCTAATTCCCAAGAAGGAGAGGTCGGTCAAGATTGGGGATTTTAGACCCATTAGCTTGGTTACATCTCTATATAAGATTTTAGCAAAGGTGCTTTCTAGGAGACTTAGAGTTGTCCTTAGGGAAACTATTTCCTTGGCACAAGGTGCGTTCGTGCAAGGTCGACAGATATTGGATGTAGTCTTAGTGGCTAACGAGGTTGTGGAGGAGTATAGGGGGCTACGTAAGGAAGGTGTTGTATTTAAGGTAGACTTCGAGAAGGCGTATGACCATGTTGATTGGGGCTTTGTGGATTTTGTTTTGGAAAGGAAGGGGTTTGGAGTTAGGTGGAGAATATGGATTTGGGGATGCTTGTCGTCATGCAATATGTCAGTCATTGTGAACGGTAAAGCTGGGGATTCTTTTCAGGCATCTAGGGGTCTAAGGCAGGGTAATCCTTTATCACCATTTTTGTTTATTTTAGTTGCTGATGTGTTGGGTAGGATTATTGATTTAGCTAAGGATAAGGGTGTCATCGAGGGGTTTGTGGTGGGAAGGGATAGGATTGGAGTTACTCATTTACAATTTGCGGACAATACAATATTCTTCTCATCAAAGGACGAAAATAAAGTGGGGAGTTTGCTACAGATTCTGAGAATTTTTGAAATTATGTCAGGCCTCAAGGTCAATCTGAACAAGAGCAGTGTTGTGGGTATTAATTTGGATAATAGCTATGTGCATAGGGTAGCGGATATGTTGGGATGTTCCACTGCTTCCTTTCCTATCAAATACTTAGGGCTTCCATTGGGAGGAGATCCTAGATTGGCGTCCTTTTAAAAACCTGTTCTTGTCAAAATTGGGAAAAGATTGGAGGGATGGAAGCGAGCTTTGTTGTCTAAGGGGGGGAGATATACTTTGGTACAATCCATATTAGGATCTGTTCCTATTTATTTCCTATCCATTTTCAAAATCCCGGTTAACATTGCGAGGAAAATTGAAAAATTGATGAGAGATTTTCTTTGGGAAGGGTGTGAACAGGGCAAAAGGGTTCATTTGGTTAGGTGGGATACGGTTTCTCTTCCTAAGGAAAAAGGTGGATTAGCTATTGGAAACATCGTTGCTAGGAATATTGCTCTTTTGGGCAAGTGGTTGTAGAGATTTTCTATTGAAAGTGATTCGCTATGGTGTTCAGTTGTTAAAAGCAAGTATGGAGTTCAACCCAATAGTAGAGATTCTAATGTGGTTAATAGAGGCAATTGTTGTTCACTTCGAAATCCATTTCTTGTTTGTATCCCCTTGTGTCTAACTACTTTTCGTTGAGAGTGGCGAATGGGGTGAACATCCATTTTTGGGAGGATGTTTGGTTAGGCGATATCTCGTTTGATAGATCTTTTCCTCTTCTTTACCGGTTGGTTCGTTCTTCAAATGTTTCAATAGCGTCAGTGGCTTGCTCTTCTATGGCACCCATCTCTTGGAACTTTGATTTCATTAGAAACTTGAATGATAGGGAGGCGGGGGAGCTAGCATCTTTGTTGGTAGTACTTGAGGGGGTCTCTCTTTCTTCATCTTGTGATATTAGGGTGTAGAATCTAAGCTCTTCAGGAGTTTTTTCATGTAAATCCTTTTTTAATAAGCTTGTTGATAATCCCTCTATTCCTTTGTTTTCTTTTCATAAGAAAATTTGGAAAGCAGATGTCCCTCATAAAGTGAAGTTTTTCATGTGGTCTTTGGCTCAAAAGGATGTAACAACTAATGATGTTTTCCAAAGGAGAAGGCCTAATCACTCTCTTTGCCCTCAATGGTGTGTGATGTGCAAGAGGAACTTGAAGGAAGCGGATCATCTATTTCTTCATTGCCCAGCGGCTTGTATATTATGGCAGCGGCTGTTCAGCTTATGTGATGAGCAGTGGGTTGCTCCGCGGGACTGTATTCAAATGCTTCTTATTCGGTTTATAGGGTTTGGGAGAACCAAGAGAGCCAAAACAATGTGGACAAGCATTGTTTTTGCTATTTTTTGGGCCATATGGTTGGAGAGAAATGCTAGAATCTTTGATGGCAAGGAAGCAAGTGTAGAGGCTTTGTGGGATAGGGTGGATTATTTGGCGTCATTTTGGGCATTTGTATCCCCTCCTTTTAAAGGAGTTCCCTTGTTCTTGATCTCTAGGGATTGGGCTGCTGTTTGCCTTCCCTAGGGCTATGAGTTTTATGTTTTTGTTTCGCTCTTTGTCTTTCTCTCTTTGTATGAGGACTCCTTGTCCTCTTTCACACTTTTTTTATTAAAATTTTGTTGTTGCTCTTAAAAAAAAAAGAACAAATCTAACAATTCACTATTAACTATTTTAGCAACATGATTTGCGATTTGACAACAATGTTTATAGCGCAACAGAAAAATGAAAATGTTTTCCACAACACAGCAAGAAAGTGTTGCTTAAATTTCATGATGAAATCACACCTTGCCACGACAAACTGCGAAAAATACTGCACCAGAAGTTGAGGAATCCTTCAACTTAGTCATATAGTCCTGCCCAAAAATTAATGCAGTTGAAATATATGACGTGATGACAGTATATAAGGAAAAGTTGAAGAGTGTTGAATAAGTATGTAGATTCAGCTACTTACGTCAATTGACAAAGGGAAAAGTGATGATTGTCTAGGTTCAATGACAGGTAGCTTATGTTTGCAGATTCTCTCCCAGATTGTGCTGGAATTTGTTGAGTTTGTATGATTCTAGAGAATAAAGAGGATAGTTCATCAAAAAGAAAATGCAAACTGATCACAATTCTTCATTACTTGTGGTAAGCCTTACCATATTCTTCCAGCACCCAATACATTGGTCCAGAAGGTAGTAAGATGGAAAAAATACTAGCAGTCCATCCGGTACGATTCGAGCAAAATTGACTGCAGCATCAAATTTAAGGAACAAATAATTTATGAAGTAGTTATTATGGCAATGAGGCTACTGATATCAAATAGAAGACTAATTTAATCTAAGGTTCATTTGTAATTTTCCTAGCTAAGAATGTTAATGACATCTTCATCCAGTGCATTGAAAAGCCAAAATTTCCCTGTGCCAGGAAAACATGATCAGATCTAAAAAAGCTCACATTCTGGCTAAACCAAGGGGGGTCAAAGAGTTTATCACCCCCTGTAACTATCATTGTGCATGGTATGCAAATCATTGACCCGCTGATAGTACTTGTGATACCCAACACCTAAAACCATCATTATCAGTACCTAATTACGTACCAATAGCATTACCAAGCTCCAGCTTGTATTCTATGGAATCACGACTCCGATATGAAGAGTTGAAAGAGTAACCAGATGGACCAGTCGGTACAACTCCAGCCCATATCTGATTTGTTGATATAACATGAGGGTTCTCCAATCGAACAGGAAATTCTCTGACATGGAAACCAAAGAAAAAATAAATATTTTTTTATCAACTTTGAAAGTCATGACGCAACCAAGTGATATAGCTAAGAATAATCCATGTAAAGGGACTCACAACTTAAATTCCTGAGCAAACGAATCCAATGGAGATAATGTGCCAGATGTCAAAATGATAGATCCAACACCCAACTTGGAGAATTCTTCCATGGCAATTCCTGGATTAAAACACCACCAGCTGAGTGTTCTAGATGCCCTACCTGCACCATGAAAATCAAAGATATAATCAAAATCCATTAGTTAATCTCACAACTCACTAAGTACAACATATTAAGACAAACTCCTAGAGACAAAACGTTTTATTTGCAATTGTGAATTTGGCGATGGGAAAGTGGAAATACTTGTCAATACAAGATGATAAAACTGGAGGACAAGCAACGTGCTTAAACAAAAATAAAAGAAAATAAAAATTGGGACCTTGTAGAAAGCATCTAGGAAAAAAATATATAATTAAAGACTTTCAGAGAAGGAATGTATATCTCACCAGTGTAATCAAAGTATAAATCTAAGATTTTGACTTAAATCTTAGATTCATACAAGTTAATTCTTTAAAAACTTGATAGACAGACAATTCACAAGAAAGGAGGGAAAAAAATTGTATACATCACAGAAAAGAAGAATTTTTAACACACATCAAGCATAGCAAATGAAGTTCAGATAGTGGAAAAAAAAACATCCCTATCACCTTTAAAAGCAGCTGTAGCACTTGCTTCAACTTCCTGAACATGAAACTTGAAAACACAACCAAAGAATTCAACTCAGCAATTAACTCAATACCACACAACAAAGGTGAAATATGGAGAAAACTCCAGCTCTGACGTAACAATGCATAGACTAATTCCCAATCTTACACGATAATATTCAGCATGAGCTCTACCCCCATCTCTGAAAATTATTCCAAGAATGTCACCCATGCTTTCCAGTCTGCATACGGTTCCTTTCACCTTGTGTGGCCCTCCACTATCAGTGGCATTTGCATCTGTAGAAAGGAAAAAGGAATCTAGATGTAAAGCACCCAAAAAGATATAATACAATAGATAACACCAGCAAGGCTAACCACCATTCATATTCTGTAATATGAATTTGTCCATGTCCAAACATTGATAAAACCAACCAAAGAAATATGAAAAAGAATGACTAATTTTTTTTTATTCTATTTGCTTAAAATATATATATATATACATATATATGTTCCCATACAAAAAAACCGCATTCAGAACAATTAACATGGATAGTGATGAAACCCTGAATGTCCAGGCAATAACTGCTTGCAGCTTACCTTCCTCAAGAAGCAAAGTCGCTTCTTCAATTATATTAATCAGCTTTGTGGAAGTTTTATGTGTGACATTCAGATCAGCAAGTAGTTCGTAAATGTAAGGCCCAGGCTTGGTAAAACCCAATTCTTTGGATTCAATAGGTATTTCAGCAATTCGCTTCTCAAGTTTTAACAGAAGCGCTGCAAGAAATGCAAGATTAACTCATGAGAAGTAGCAAAGTGACAAAAAATATAACTAAATCCAAGGAAAAAATCAAATTTTGCATAGGAATGAGAACCTCATATTCTATAATCATTTTGACACAAGCCGACTTCAGATCAGCCAAAATAGAAATATTATCAGAACAGTAAACATATACAGGATCAACGTACTGACAAGAAGGGAAACTTTTATTCACTCATTCAACCAATTACATTTACCTCTAAGAATAGCAAAATTATCTGGATTACATGATTTGTCATTTGAGATTTCCCTCCTTGCAATAGAAAGGTCTATGCAATTTTTTGCTTCAGAAATGCAAGTTGTCAGAATTCCTGAAGGCAGGTCAAAAGATGCAGCATCTGCACATAAGCTTTCCTGCATTTTATCGGAGATTTTTCTTCCATCACTAGCCAAGATCATGAAGCATTAAATATACAAAAATGCAAGATTTACAGCAAATGGTTTTTTTACTTGTTACATTACATGTGATATATTAAAGAAATTATATGGTATCCACAAAGTAACTCACAAGACCAGGATATCACAAAAGCAAGCATCTCTACTTACCAAGTTGTGAGCTTCATCAAATATCAGTATGCTGTTGTTCCACCTAATCGAAAGAGATTTTCTGTTCCCACGATCAATAAGATAGTTATAAGGTGCAAATACGATATCAGCAACCTTGTGGAGCTCTCGTGACATATAATAAGGGCACCTTCAAAAAAGTGTTTATGTTAAAAAAATACAAGGATTTATTATTCACTTTTTGTCAAAAAGTGAAAAGAATACGTAGAAAACCTACGCTCCACAGCTTTTTCCAATATTGACCAAATCCTCTATATCAATAGGTTGATCTCCAATACTGGGATTTTCCTTCATGAATTCTACAGGGAAAAAAAATGAAATGTATAATGTTTTCAGAACAATTGATGCACTACAAAAATAGAAGGAAGCAAAAGTAACTTTGGAGTGGTACATATCATAAAGAGCCTTCGGACTGACAAGAAATAGTTCATAAATTTCAATCCATTAGCTTCAAAAAGATTAAATCAACACCACTGTAATCAACAGAAAATTATGTTATTTGATTCAGCTAAACAAGCCCATTACCTGTTCCAACCTATCCTAATACTCATATTTACTTTGAAAGCACATAAATCAGGATTTGAAGCTAAATAGACAAATCAAACAATATACATCGTTACAAGAAACCACGTGAAACTTTTACAAAATTACCTGTAACACGAGGAAAATGGCGGCAATATCGCTTTTTGCGCTTTCTACAAAGGGAATGACAGGCATTTGTCTGGGTTCTTCCATGGAGCAAACTCACTTCCTCATGAATGCATAATTGCTCACGAGATCCTAATACTACCATTTTGGGCCTGCATTTTTTCCTTAAGAAGTAAGTGAAATTGATATAGAAAAGGTGCCAAGGGGGCACTGCCCAAGTACATTAAAAAAAAAAAAAAGATTTAGAGGCTAACAATAGCTAAATCACCACTCTCATTCCGAAAATTATAATTGATGGAAGAATGAAGCCTATTGGGTTCTCTCTCCTTCCTATTAGATGGAGTTCCCTTTCCCTATTTGCCCCTTACATTTTGGGCCTCTTGCTGCCACCTTTTATCAATGTCTCCCATAAGTTGCATACCCTCGGGCTTGAAACCCTGAACGAAACACCCAAAAGATCACACATACACTCATATTTTGCTTCATCCACTCGGCCCTTTCTATCTCATATGCCTCCAAAGTTACATCAGTTATGTTCCTTTTGTCTATATTCCCCCGGTTATGTTCACTTTGTCTATCTCATGCTCCCAAAACCATTAGTTGGGTGAAAAATTCTCTATATATTCAGTTAAAGAATCACACTGAATCTTTTTGTTAAAACATCTATAAGTTCATCATGATAAATATGGTCTCTAAAGTTTTTACAATGTCCTTCCAATTCCACTAAGAACTAGGTCAAGTAAAAAATGCATTCATGTGTAGTGTTGATATCATATCAATAAGAGCATATATATACACCTGCAGTAAAATTTTTGAAAAAAATAAACTGGTCCAGGTTTGTAACAAGCACGATAAATTTTCTGCATAAGAAGTCCAAGGTACCTTACTGGTACTGGATCATATGTGATCAAACAATTTACTGTTACAATAGATTTGTTCACAGTTCAAGCTCCCAAAAGGTTAAAACTCTGTTTTGCAAGATCAACCAGATTCTATATCGTCAAGCACATAATATAGCCAAGTTCAGCAATGAAATCAGGTAAGTATCACATTGTTAAAATACACATAATACACAAACCTCTCCAAATATTATAAATGTTTATGTGTATATAATGAAGATAATAATAATTGTAGACCATTTAATGCACCTATAAGGAAGGCCTGGCAGAACATGGGTTGGGGCAATAAGAAAGAACATGGTTACTTTAACTTAATTGAGGATATGACTTTGGACATAATAAACACGATAAAATGGAGTATGTGTGTATAATGTTACAAAGATATTTCATTTCCATGTCCATTTGCAGAAATGCAATCTGATGGAAAATGCACAAGGATGTGTAGATTCGAAATCAATCAAACAATACTGTTGTAATTTCAAATGGAGAACCACGCAAAGAATAAAACAAGGCAAATAATTGGATGCACTGGGAAAGACTTATAACGGGGAAACACATACACACACAAAATAATATATAATAACAGAAATAATTTAAAATACAACTCAAACACAAATCCCTCCAACTGTCTTGTTTCAAATTTGAAACATATAATGGCAAACCAAAGTACAGTTATCAATGTCATTGATCGTCATACAACAAATAAGTTGATAAACTATATACCTAAGAAGCACGGACACTTCTAAAAATGTGGTGTGTCCGTGTCCGTGTCGTGTCCATGTCGGACACCAACACTCATCAGACAGTCCGACACCGACACTCATCGGACACTCTCCCGACACGTGTCCGACACTCATCCAAACGTGTCCTAATTTTTTATAAAGAATTTAGGACTCAAACACTCTTTGGACACTTGGAGGACACACTTGTCTATTGACTAGACACACAAAACTAAATATAAGTTTGAACAAAATAACATAGGATAAGATGATAAAAGAAAAATAATGTCAATTTATAGAAATTAGTGTTATATTTTATTTATTTATTGTCTTAGAATGACATGTTCATATATCTGACTTATAATAAATATATAAAATTATATTTATCAAAAATAAATAAATAAATAAATATATAAACTTATATATTCCATGCATGTCCCCTACGTGTCGTGTCCTGCATTTTTTTAAAATTGCAGTGTCTGCGTGTCCGTGTCATATTCATGTCGTGTCATGTGTTTATGTCCATGTCCATGCTTCTTTGCTATATACACGGAAACCAAAAAAACAAACGCAACCCAGCATACAAGACTCCCACCATTGTGGGGGCTAGGAAGGGTCAAATGTAAGCAAAATCTTACCCCCCCGGCATTTGTCTGGGTTCTTCCATGGAGCAAACTCACTTCCTCATGAATGGCCTTTCCATGTATAAACAACATACAGAAAACATGTTACTAAATGGCGGGGGTCCATTATACCTGCATAAATTTCATTACTAAGGATCATTATTAACTCTAACCTGTAATTGGTTCTTTTCAACTCTTGAATAACTTGCCGAAGCTGGCTGTGAGTACGTGATGTGTATATTATTGGGGGTATATTTGACGATTCAGACTGCGACAATGGTTCATTGGAAAGTTCAACTCCCGCATTATGACCTCTTCTCTCACCTGCACGGGTTGAGAAGTCTCCCAAATTCTTCCTCCAAGCCAATGTAGCACAAAGAAGACACAAAGTTTTCCCAGTTCCAGTAGGGCTCTCCAATAATGCATTAGATCTCTGCCATTTTATGCATGCAAAGAGTAATCAGAGAAAAATATTGATGTTAATTACAATGACATAGAAAAATGAACAACAAAAAAATTCTTGATATAAAGCTCAGATATTCATGCTCTTTAAAAAACAAAATGAATGCTACACCCATAAGGTTACTGACACGAATATAAACACGGTTCAAAATATAGGGTATATTCATTGATATATACCAACAAGAAGTTAAGACTTCCAATTCCAACACAGGAAGGTACCTTCCAAGCAATTTCATTATGGATGTTGTAAGGATGGGTTCAAATCGAATCCCAACCCATATCAAAACAACAATTAAATTTTCTCAATAACAAGCAATTGATTTTTACAATAAACATACTTTGAAGATTCTAAAATGCATATGCATTTGTGCATTGAACACATTGCATAGTGCAAAACAAATAAATCTGAATCCCGAAATCTCATCAATATGGTCAATACAAACCAAAAAAACAACTGGTCTGTGCAAAACGCGTGGCTTACACAAGTTCATTGAATAATTTCTGATGCACCCTTTCTGCATGTGTTTATATGTATCAAAACAAAATTATGCAGAAACAACATTCATTTAATTGAGAACAATACAGTTCAAAATAGGGATGACAATGGAGCGGGGAAAGGTGGATTTGTAGTGGACCATCCCCTGCTCATAATCATATCGAGGCAAGGGAAAATCGGGGCGGTAGCCGGGGTTAATTTTGTAACCTTAGTAATGGTGGTACTAATAAAAATGAACACTAATATGACATATAAGGATGATGATTTATAAATTATGAGACTTCAAAATATGTAAAATAATAAATAAATAGTGAAAATGAGTATTAAGTGTAATATCTCCGTTTGGTTCAATTTTCAAATCAATTTTTCAAAACCCAAAATTTGTTTGGTTTAGGGTTTTTGAAAATTCATTCCAAAACCCAAAACTCAAAACCCAAAACTTGTTTGGTTTAGGGTTTTTGAAAACTCACCTCAAAACCCAAAACCTGTTTGGTTTAGGATTTTCACAAAATCGATTTCGTTTGGTTTTCACAAATTGGCCAAATAATTTTTTATGTTTTAGATTTATATGATCTAAATAGACTTAAACAGTAAACAAAATGTAAAGAACGCAAAAAAAAAAAAAAATAAATCCATAAAACATTAAAATTGTATTGATTTTTAAACCGGATCAATTTTTATTTTCATTTTTTTTTTTTTGTATATTTTTCATTATTCAATAATTTTATAAAAAGTTACATTTAAATAAGAAACGTTTTAAATGTTTATAGATTGAGTGGATATAAAACCAAAAAAGAAGTGTTAAAATGTTTAAAACATTCATAAAAAATAAAACATATGGAGTGAAACTTTGCCCTATAAATTAGATTAGATGTGTCTAAGAAGTAAATTTAGATTTAAGTATATGAAAGAAGTAAACAAATTTGGCTATAATATTGCAAAAAAATTTCGACTCAAAAAAAAAAAGACCTAAAAAACCTCAAAAGCTAATTTTGAAAACTCATAACTAAACAAGTTTTGAATTCAATTTTCTAAAAACTATTTTCAAAACTCATAACCAAACAAGTTTTCAATTTTCAAAACTCTTTTCAAAAATCAAAATCCAAAATTGATTTCAAAACTAAACCAAATGCAAAGGTAGTGTTTAAGTCTTATTATATTTTTAAAAAGTAAATTATATATCTATTTTATATAAATATATTTAATAAATATAATCAAGCAGGGAGGGTAGAGGAAAATTCGTCCCACCCCACTTCCACATCAGAGTGGACCAGGATAAATTGTCATACCCACAAGCTTTGCGATCATGTCCCCATCTAAAGATGAAGTTCAATGTCATTCTACAATACACATATGCAAGTTATGACAATTGTGGTATTCAAATCACAAATGTAATAACTAAAAAAAACACAGTGGGCCATAACCAAACACCATTTTAGGTGTAACCAAAGACATTTTCGATCATAACCACAATAGGTAATAACCAATGTCACAACAAGTCATAACCAAGGGTCTAAGAAGCACAGACACTTCTAATAAGGTAACGTATCCGTGTCGTGTCCATGTCGGACACAGACATTCTTTGGACACTCTTAGAACACGTGCCCGACACTCTTAAAAACATTTCTTATCTTTTAAAAAAAATTTAAAGGCCCGGACTCTTTGGACATTTGGAGGACACACATGTCAATCGCTTAAACACATGTGTCAATTGATTATACACACGTGAAACTAATTATAAGTTTGAACAAACCATTTAAGATACAATAATAAAACAAAAACCATATAAACTTATAGGAATTAGTATCATATTGCATTTTTTATTATCTTTGAATAATAGATTCATATATATAACATATAACAAATATATAAAATTATATATTTCATGTGTGTCCTCCATGTGTCATATCCTGTATTTTTTAAAGATTAACAAGTCGGCGTGTCCGTGTCCATGCTTCTTAGCCAAGAGTTATAACCAAACACCACTTGAGGCATAACCAAAGGCCCCTTCTTCAGTCATAACCAAAATAAAAGTCACAAAAAATCATAACTAAGTCATAACTAATATCACAATAAGTCATAACCAAGTCATAACAAACACGACAATGAATCACAATCAAAGACACATGTCATAAATGGGCATATGGAACACACCTTTTCTAAGGTGTGTATTATACAATTTCACACTAAATAGTGAGTGTGGTGATGACAATTAACAATATATATGAATAAAGACACACCAAATAGGTTCCCTATTACAAGTCCACAAGATCAACAAAATATGCAAACACAAATTGAGATAGTATAGAAGAAATCAAAATTATTTTTTTAATGGAAAACAAAGAAGTGCATACGTCTTGAAGAGATTGGATCACTTTTTCCATGTAAACAAGCTGGCAATCGTAAGCTTCGTATGGGAAATCCACATTGACTCCTCTGATCTTGTACGTTGGCATCTTATTTAACCTCTCGAATCAAGTTCTACAATCTCTCTCTCTCTCTCTCTAATGGTTTCGAATCGTGAGTTACAGAATTTCTTCACAGAAAACATGGACAATGAACGAACGCTCGTTCTTTCTTGCAAACCCTAGAAAATTAGGTCCTTTTGCAGATTTTCCCGCCATCTCCTGGTTGTTTTCAGACTCGGCCAACTGAACGATGACGTTTTATAGTAAAACCCGATTCAATCACGGTCACGGGCCTTTGATTTCCGTTTCATTTTAGCAACAGTTTTTGAATTTTTGGGTTTTTTTAAGTGAGCTTTTTTCATAATTTATAAATTTATTTATTTTCTATTTTTGGGATGCATCTAGCGTTTGGTAGAATTTTGTAAATGTGATTTGAGAGTATGAGTTGTATTTTAAGTTTGTGATTTGTGAAATTATGATTTGAGTGTAAAAAATTTGTTTGGTTATGATTTTTAAATAGAGTGTTAAAATGCGTTTTGAAGATGTATTTTGAATTCAGTTTTAAAAGTTTGATGTGACATGTGAAATAAGAAAATTTGTTTGGTGATCTGTTTTGAAAATAATTTTCAAAACTTAATTCAATCAATAATTTATAATTAAACACACAACTCATATATCGATATTCGTATTTTTTATCAATAGTAATAACCAAACTATTTTTAAAATACTGAAATTAAAAATTGATTTTTTTTTAGTAATTTTTTTGAATAATTTTTTTAAATTTTTTTTTTCATTTTAAAATAAATCTATGTCAATTATTTTGTATCAATTAATTTTTCTATCAATGCATTTTGTACGCATGTACAAACATCTTGTACAATACTTTTTTTAATTTTTTCTAAAATTTTGTTAAAGTCAACAACTTTTGAGAATACATATTAATAAAAATTAACATAAATATACTAAGTTTAATATTTTAAAATACAAATCATAAGGTAAACCTTACAAAATATTATCAATTTTTTTTCTCATTTATTACATGTTATTAATTTTGTAATAAAGTCGTAACGGATTGACCATGCATTATTGTACTTTCATAATCAGCACCCGTGAAGCTCATATAATTGGGGTGAAGTGGCGTGCAAAATGACTATTTTGTCCCTCTTGATTTAAATGAGAAGTTGTTACATAAGAACAAAATAAAAAAGGGTAATATAGTAATTTCACTTATCTACTACCTACCACCTATTGTATCATAGCTGTGCGTTCAGCACTGGGCTAAAGAAAAAGGGACACCATGCAGACAATGCATCTGTGTGTTCAGTATACAGATGTAGTATTATTAAAAAATTAATAATATTATAAATAAAAAAATAGATAAGAAATAAAAAGTAAAAAAAAAAAAATTAACAACCTGAACCTTCTAAACCTCAGCCTTTCTATAAAATCTGAATCCTCATTCCTTTAACCACACCATCTTCACCATCTTAGCTCCATCATAGAAGAACACCATCTTCACTATCTCAACTCCATCACAGAAGAACATTAATTAAATTCAGTGTATCCGTGTAAAGGAAGAAAGAAGATTTCAATTACAGGCTAGTTTCATCCAGTTCATATTAGCTTCACATTTCATATTTTATTCGGAGTAGCTTCAGATAGTCGAAGAACAGTTAGCCAGACCAGGACAACCGGCCGATCATCCCATCTCACACCAATTCGCACTCAGTTCCTATCTGTTGCCAATCAGTTTCCTTTCTGTTGCCGATTTGTTCCTTTTTTTCATATCTGTTCCATTTTTTCACACCAACATCATATTGTTTTTAATATATTTTCCATACATTTTTCTTAACTCATACGTTTTAATATACATTTTTCTTTCATTCTTGCAGTCATCATGCCAAGAACAAAATGAACCAGACCTGAACGTGGTGAATCCTCAAACCCTATACAACATCAACCACAGCAACAACATCATGACAATCCGAATAATGATTTTTTAACGTATCATCATGAACAAGCCTATTCACATTTTATTAATCGACCAATTGTTACGGGAAGAAATGTAAAACTACCTTCTAAATATGATTCGCTCTTACTTGGTAAATTAGATACAATGTGATGGTTACCTTTAACTAATTTACCAAATAAGGTATATCCCCGTCTTATACAATTATTTTATGTTCACTTGACACCTGGTGACCAACAAAATGAACCGTTCAGTCTGACTTCTTATGTGAAGGGGAAAAGAATCACACTCAGTCTCCGTGCTTTCGCACAAATTATTGGAGTTAAAACAGGAGATTTACAATGCTATTTTCAAAATGAGTTTGCCTTAGAAAAAATTGTTGATGATGTCACTCAGATTTATACCACAATTTGTGACAACCGATTGAGCGGCACTAATTTACTGGCCAAGCATTTAAAACCCCACCTTCGTATTCTTCATCGATGGATAGTTGAAAATGTCACTCCCAAAAAAGGCCATTATGATACTATTTCATGTTTTAATATTTATTTGTTATATTGTTTTGAAATTGGACAAAAATTAGATTTATGCTTCATATTACTCAAAGAAATGATGGTTGCAAAATTAGATACTTTGAGTGGCCGGTCACTACCTTTTGGAGCTTTGTTAACCATAATTTTCAAAGCGCATGATGTCAACCTTGAAGGTGAAGGATATGTGAGAATCAGTTCACCAATTTCTAAATACACACTAACCCGAGCTGGTGGTGCTGACACCTTGATGGGCTCTATTAATATTGAAAATGAATCAATACCTGATGAGGAAGAACCCAATGACAATACCATGCCATAAAATGAACAACACCATTACTAGACTGATTATTTAGCCTTGGAACAAGAACGGTACAATCAACGCCTACAATGGGAACAACAAATGGCTAATCAGCTCAATACATTGGGTACTCGGTTCGATGAATTTGGTACTCGGTTCAATGAATTTGCCACCGCTCAGAACTCACTAATTCAACAATTTGGTGAGTTTTGTGTAGACTTAAAGAGACATGATGAAGTGACAAACCGCATTGATCATATTGACCATCAAGTCACTCAGCTGTACCATCAGTATTTCCCTCCATCCAACACCACCTGACAATGATGCTTAACTTGTTCAAAAATCAGTTTAAATGGTTCATAGATGTAGTGGTTACATTTTTTTTTCTTTTTTTGTTTTGGTTATTTGTTTCCTTATTTTGTTGTGATTGTTTTACTTTTGTTATTTTGTTATAAACTTTTCTATTCACGTAATGAATAACAAATAGTGTTTTTTTTTTTTTTTTTGAAGCATTGTAAAACAAGTTACAATGTTATAACAATCTGTACAAAAATATTATGCATTGAAAAAATTATTTGTACAAAAATTAATAATTTAGTGCTTAATAAATGTCTAACAAATCCTTCATTTCAATAAAATGAACAAAAATTAAACAATTACAAAATAATTTGTCTGTATCAATTAATACAAAAAAATAAATTAATGTTTTGAAATGAAATAAAACAAGTTACAAATTAATAATAAACATGTGTACCAAAAAAAAATTAATAATAAACATCCTTTTTTTTAAATAAAAAGGAAAAAAAAAGTTAATATAAACTTGTGTACAGAAAGTTAAAAAGAATTTTTTTTTTAAAATAATGACACCTTGCTTACATAACTCACCACCACCACCCACCTTAAAATAATAATAATAATAATAGTGTGTAAATTTTGGTGAATTAATTGGAAACACATTGAAAATTAGAAATCCGGTGATAATATTTAATATTTGGAAACACATTAAAAATTAAAAATCCATACTTCAAGATGTACCCCAGCGATTTTTTAGACATTCTTGATGTAAAATAATATTTTGCTATAAAATCTGGTGATATAAAACAATAAAATTTAATTTAATTTTTTATTTTATTTTATTTAATTTAATTTATTATTATTATTATGCTTTAGTTTTTATTTGTTTTATTTTTTATTTTGTAGTTAATTTTTAATTTTTATTTTTTACACTTTTAAATGGTGAACTTATCATGCAGCCAAGATCATTCTAACAAATTTCTTATAATCAATTAAACCATCACCATCCAAGTTACCATCCATCTGCTCCACATCTTCATCTGTGTTTGGGAATATATTTTTTTAATAATTTTTTGACCTTTTATAAAAAGATGTGTAAAATAATAAATTAATGTTCTGACAGGAAATAAAACAAGTTACAAATTAATAATATTTACACTTTTTTTTTAATGAAAAGGAAAAAAAAAAGTTAATATAAACAAAATTTACATAAAGTTAAAAAGAAAAAGTCAAAAACACGGATATGTCATGTACAAATATTTTTTCACAAAATATAAATTAATAAGGTGTAATTATTTTACTAATTTTAGACCACCCACCTACCACCACCACCCACCACCACCCCCCGAGCGGCACTAATTTACTGGCCAGGCAATGCACCACCACCCACCACCCACCACCCATCTGCAACCACCACATTTAAGTTAATAACAACATATTTATTTGTGAAAGTTACTCAGAAACACATTGCATATTAAATACAACATATTTAATTGTCTTTGCTAGACTATACATAAAATTGCATATTACACATTGCATGAACAACATATTTAATTGTCTTCGTTACTAAAACCATTATCTTCATTGCCCATGTGATGATCTTTGTGTTTTCTTTCGTTTCATTGCCATTTAACCCAATCGGTGTCCTCAGTATTAGTTATCCTACAAGAAGATAAAAGAAATCAATAAATCACAGTTACATAAAGTGAGCGAAGTTATGTAGTAACGGTGTCATAATGACTGAAATTAGTAAAATAATTACACATTTAAAACCAGTAGTCAGTACGATATTTACTTGCCTTGTTGACATCCCTTTTCTATTCATGGCCAACATGATTTTGCCACATAGCAGTAGCAATTGCATCTCTAACGTTCAATTGGTACGTTAACCCATGTTGTGACATGTCAACATAGTCAGCTTGGTCTCCAACAAGCTCGTCTGCTTCTGCTTCAGCGGGCATTTCATTATCAGCTTCCATAAAGCATGGGTCCATAGCTGCATGCAAACGGATCCAATTGTGCACTACACAACATGCAATCACGAGAGGCCCTTGTCTTGTAGACTTGTAATTTGGCATGGACCGCAATATTGGAAAGCGCTTCTTCAGAACACCAAATTTTCTTTCTATGACATTGCGTAACGACGAATGTCGATGGTTAAACAATTCCTTAGGTCCTGCATAACGACGGCCACGAAACTCTTGCAAGTGATACCATTGAGACCGAAATAGGGCAAGAAATCCAGGCATGTTCGTGAAACCAGCATCAACTAAATAGTACGTGCCTACATGTAAATAATGAATACACAGTTCTGTCAATTGATATGTACAAGAAAAGACCAGAAAAAAAGTGTGCTGTATGTTATTTAGGGGCAGTCACCATTGGGTGGATGTGGGAACTGTAGATCAGCTCGTGTAATAGAGTCGACCAAAATAGCGTTGTCATGAGCGTTACCTTCCCATCCAGAATTAATAAATGTGAACAACATATCGAAGTCGCAAGCTACGAGTACATTTTGCGATACCGTTGCTTTCTGACCGCATAATGTATTTTGTCTTGAAGCAGAGACCCATGCATCCACCAATGTGCCATCGATAGCACCGACACAATCCTAATTGACAGATATTTGTTTGACATTAAAAGCGAAACAAACTTGGATATTACTTTTATAATTAAAAAAATATATATTTATTAACCCTTATTGATATGTACAACTTACAGGACAGTCATATTGTTCGTACCTTGAACCAGGGAAAAAACCTCCTGTCATTTAAAATTTTTGCCGGTATGTCATCTTGGTTACGTGGTTTGATAACCGATGATGCAAGTTTGCACAACGCCCGCATAATAATTTTTATGTACCGACAAATTGTTTCCATGGAGTGTTGAAATCTATCTGCCATTATTCGATGGCGATCATTTTGTGCAAAGTGTATAAAAAAATTCCAAGCGATTCCTCCACACTGATATGCATATGTTCACTATCGATAAAGCCATTATGGAGTAAAGTGTCTTTCAATAAAATAAATGTTTGTGCATCCATTCGCATAACGTTCATCATTGTTTCTGAATGGCCATTTAATAGGCCAGAGATGTAATCATCACCTTTGAATGGACATGTTCGCTGCGGTCGGCGACTACTTGACGCGTTGATATGGTCATGCATGAAAACAATCATCAAAAAATCCATAAAATCATCAATAACGTCATTCTCCTCTGATGAGATCTCCATTGTATTGTTTTCTCTGTCGAATGACATATGTTTTTGTCTACATCACAGTAAAAGCATAATTATAAAATATGTTATTCATGTTGTAACAGTTAGCATTATTGGTGAAACAGAATTAAAAAGTTAGTACATGAATAGTCGACCGTAGTCATTTATCAACGTACAGTAAAATTCATAGGAGAACAAAATTTATTTAATACGTGGTGATATTGTAAAACACAACATAGTTTTAATATAACAGAAAATACTTAAAAGTTCAAAAAAAAAAACATACGAAGATAGAAAAGGAAAGAAGATATCATGGAATGAAAAAAAATAATAATAACCAAATCAGGAATAATGAAATCATCAAACAGTTCAGGCAATGAGATTTGCTAACACAAGCAAAATAGAACTTCTCAGTTCACTGCAAAGCGAGGATCATGGCTAGGCGCAAATGGGTAGGAGTGCGCATAAAAAGCCTTCGTCGTTCCTTATCCTTGAACAGTGTTAGTGCCCTAACGTACTGCAATGGTGGTATGTCCCCAAGCTCTAGCAATGCATCTTGACATGCATCAAGGGAATAATCATCACCACCTGCACTTACAGCCTCTGTCTCATTTTCTCGTGCACGTGAATGTCCTGTTTTTGCTTGTACATAAGATGTGAAAGTTGCGCACACATCATCAAACCCACTTGATCGTCACTTTTTGGAACGACCACTGTCAGTCTGGCTGGTTGCAGGGCCCCTCTTGTGACTTTTGCCCTTTGCTGGATCCATGTACTCATCCCTAAATAAGTCAACAGGAATGGCCTTAGCAGCATTACTCCCACCAGCATTACTCCCACTAACATCAGGGTTCCAAAATTTATTTAACATGTCATCTTCTTCTTTTGAGTCAAGGGCTCCTTGTGTGGATGCACGAGACAAGGCCCCCGTGGCACAACAATTTTCAACAATTTCTGTCATTTCTTGAAAATATTCAAACCCTTTTGTCCTAAACTTCTTCACATTTCTGCTAGCCTACAACAATTACAATTAAAGAATTAAGCACTGTATATATCATGAAATGTTTAAAATAAAATTTCAAAATAGTACAGATTAATGAAAAACCTTATCCCAAAATTCATCGGGTGTAATAACAATGCCTATAATGGGATCCCATCCCAGACTAGTCTGTGCCTGGAGTTTCTTAAATGTCTGGTAATCAGCTTTCAGTCACTGATATTTTTTGCGCACCTGCTTTCCCGTATACCGAAATCCATACATGTTGTGCAACAGATTTGCATAATGATTCCAATGCCTAATTGTCCACGAAGTAGTACGGCCTGTTGTTTGATTGTTTCTAACCTCATCTCTCAACATATTTATTAATTTCGTTTCAATTCTGGGCGTCCACATTTTTGTATTGTCATCAGAATTATTCCCATCCATCTATAAACATACAAATTATATTTAAACTAGTCTGGAGTGGATATACAAGAATAACAGAGCATTTTAAACTAGTTTGAGGGTGGATATACAAGAATAACAGAGCAAAATGGTTTGAAGGAGAACACAGATGAGGAAAAAAAAGCAGATGATTTTATTTCGAGGAAAAAAATACGTAACAGATTAGTTGAATTTAAATAGCAGAAATATAACCACAAACAAAAAAAAAATCAGGTAACATTGTCTTTAAATAGTAGAAAAAAAAACCAGTAAAAGAAGAAGTAAGGAAGAAATAAAGAAGGAAAAGGAAAAGCAGAAGAGGCTGTACGCGAAGGGGAGGACGGGTGGGTTGATCGACCGGTCGACATGCCGGATGACCTGGGGGACGACCGGCTGGGTGTCCCAGGTACTGCCGGCTTAGGTTCTCTTCGTGCAAAGGTTCAAACTGTTCAGAATTTAAAAAGCTTTTCAGATCTGAAATGAAAAATACTCGTCTACAAATTCTTAGAAATCATTTGGGAACTGATTTCCACTTCTCTGAAATCATTTGTACATAACAGATGAAGATTTATTTACCTGATTACTGGCTATTTTTCTTGGTAAAAGGTTGAAACAGTTCAGGAAAATCAGAAAACATCTGAAACTAAAAAAATAGTCGGCTACACTTCTCACAAAAGATTTGAGAACTGATTTCGACTTGTCTGAAATCATTTTCATATAACAGATGAAGGATTTATTTACTAGATTAGTGGGAGTTGAATAGTTATTGCCGGTGATGGAATGTGTATATTGACTGAATGTGCCACTCTTTGCTCGTCCGATTCGACAGTAGATTTGATAAATTTGACCTGGAAAAAAAAAATTTTAATTAGGGATGAGTTATTTCAAATCATTTCCTTATAACAAAATTCAATCAATAAATTTGTGAGTTATTTCACCTCGCACTTGTCGTTGTTTGGTTGCCCATAATAAGAATCTTCCGCAACGCACAAATTGTAAGTTAGTCTTGATACCAGTAGGGAGCGGGTTTGGTGGATTCATTATTTATAAAATGAGTGAAGCCTAACCGTGACGAATGTTAAGTACTGATGTCTGATACAGAGAAAGATAAGGTTCACGTGAAATTTTCAAAGACGATGGAGAAAGACATGGAAGCTTTTCAGATCAAAAGAGAAAGAAAGATGAGGTTCACGTGAAATTTTCAGAGACAATAGAGAAGGACATGGAAGCTTTTCAAATCAAAAGAGGAAGAAGACAGAAACGTTGAAAGTGAAGCACTGAAGTACAAGCTGCCAAACGGGTTTTCAAACTGTAATTTGAATTAACACGCAAAATTGTATTTTGAACGTCCTATCCAAACATGAAGCGGGAGTTCACGTGTTGAAACGTAATTTGAAAATACAAACAAACAAAGTCAAAATATCTATAAATAATTTTTTTTTAAGATTAATAAATATAAACATATATGAAAATATACTAAATTTTTATTTTTTTTATTCAATGAATTTTAAATATTTTATTTTTTATGTACATTTAAGTTAGGTGTATTTAAAAAATAAAAAAATTAATTAAAATATTAAAAAATTCACTAAAGACACAAAATATGAAAAATGAAAAATATAAAAACTCAAAAACTATTATTTCAAAACTCAAAACTAAAGATCACCACCTATCCTTGACTGTCCCAACCCGGGTGTAATAACAATGCCTCTCCAACCATCATTCAACCACCTCATCCCCTTCCTCACCAATCACGACCACTTCAACCCCCTCTCAACTATAGGTTGTCAACCATGGTGAAGGTGTGCGACAAGGTTCTGAAAAGCAGTTGCAGTCGCCATAACGGTGGCCGTGGCACGATTGCGGTTACGGGATGTAAAGGCCATAGCGTAATGGTTACGGTATTTGGAACTGTGAATTTTTTTATTTTTCGCACAATTTGAAAAAAATTTATCGATATGCATATATTTTTTTTAGAATCATATTTATTGGGTTTTAAAATAAACTTTGATAAATTCTTAATAATTTTTAGGTATGATCCAATATATTTCATATTTTTAAATCACTTATATAATGAGTTTTTTTTTACATTTTATTTCAATAATTAATGACTTTATATGTCATAAATCCGTATTACACGTGTGGCAAAAATTTCTTTTATTGGACTTAGATGTATAAAATTATTTTTAATTATTATACTTGTGGAAGCATATGTAGATTTTAACTTAAATAGTTTAAAAAAGTATACATCTTTAATGGAAGAAACCTAACAAAGTACATAATATCATAGCATAATTCACAAATAACAGAGATTACATTTTACATAATGTTACTACTAAAATTACATAATGTCACCACCAAAATGAGCGACGTGATGCATCTTGGGATTCAAATTGTTAAGTTTGATTGCTGCTGCTACCTTCACCCCATCCAGTAGGAAATATATAAGTGAATGTTGTCATCATGTCAACACTTTCTGTTTGGTGTACTAGGGGAGAAAATGGATACCTTGGTTGAAAAGGATCAACATACTCTTCTTGGGCTTGTAGATAATTTGGCAAAGCTTATCCTAGAGGATCATGTTGTTGAGGGGGCCAAGGATAATTTTGTTGAGGTGGGTAAGGATAGCTCTGGCTATCACTGTTATAGGATGGGTAAGAGTGATATGGATAACTTTGACTACTATCAGATGAATCAAACCGTTGTTCTTTGCTTTTTATTCTTCTTTCATCCCTACATGTATCACTACCACGAAACCTTCCAAGTAGTTGGGGTAAAGGTGCAACAGGACATCATAATGTTCTCCAACATCGCATAATCCAAATCCTCCAATAAAATCTTCACTTCTTACACCAAAACTAGTACCATTACCACCATTGTCACCACTACCATAACCGTAAGAAATGCCCCCACCATTACCATCATCACTTCCTCCATCAGATAGTGTTAAACCACCACTATTGTCACTTTGAGTTGGAATAGCAATTGAGCTTTGAGAAGTGTGTCGAGCTTGATATCTATGGGTGCCATCACCATCGTTTCCATCGCTGCCATCGCCATTGATATTGTTGCCACCACCACCACCACCACCATCATCATCTGAGACCAAATCCAGCCATTTAGAATTATCCACACCATCTAGTAAAGGATTTTCCCTTTCTTCTATCCATGGACTTATTGGATCATCTTCTTTAAATATGTAATCCAAGTTAATAGGATTAAAACTCCTATCAATCTCTTCTTGGTTTCTTCTTCTAACGTGTCTCAATTTTAATCTCATGTTATAGGTGATGAAGACTAATCTTTGGATTTTCTTATATTTCAATCTATTTCTCGTCTTCATATGGATGAGACTAAAAGTACTCCAATTACGTTGACAGTGAGATGATGTGGTGGTTTGACTTAACACTTTCACAACTATTTTTTGAAGTTCAAGAGCACAACTACCATGAATAATCCACCACTCAGCTGCACAAAATTACATTACATTAGACATAAATCAAAATAAGATAGAAAATTATTTAAGTATTCATATATTGTAATTTTGTAATTTTGAAAATAAAACCTGGATTTGATTGTTTCCATGCTTTTTGTGCTAAATGAGTGTCAAAAGTTTTCTGTTTATCTCCAAACAGCAACAACTACAATTTGGACAATCATTACAAGTAACATTTGCAAAAGTTGATTTTTACTATTAAAATTTAAATAATTGGTATGTATTTGATTTGTTGCTTTCACTTGAGCATCCATATTAGGCTCCAATCTGGTAATTACTTTTTTAAGTCCATCCATCACTTCTCTTATTATTTCATTGGATGAGATAACACCATATTGGAATTAAGGATTTAAAAAATATCCTTCAAAAATAAAAAGACAACTAATAATTGAAAGTAAATATACATGTCATAATTGAAATTGTAACACTTACCAGCCGCATGCAAATCTTGATGTGATTGAAAAGGCCATTGAGTATCAATAATTTTCCAATACTCGGTGTAGTAATAATGACAATCTCTTTTAATTGCCAACTTTGCTCTATCTACAGCTTCATATATGAAATCCATTGTTGCCTTCTTATGCCCATCAACCAGCCTCAATATTTTAACTAGTGGCTCATGAACTTTACAAAGCTTTGTTGTTTTCTGCCAAAACTCTTTTCCAAAATAATTTGTTTTCACCGTGTAAGACTGCCCAGTCTTTGCTTTTCCCCCATCTAGAATTCTTTCACTCATCACTATCAAACATAGCTCTCAATTATTGTTTATATCTAATAATACTCTCAATGGCAATAAAATTTGTAGCAAATCAAGTGATGGCAGGTCAAATTAATTCTCTATTTCCAGTGAATTTTCTTATTAAATCAAACACCCATTCACTATTATAAATGGAATTCGTGATGATTTTACCATCTTCAATCACCTTTGCTACACTTTTCTTATTGGCTATGTCTTTTAGCATGAGACCGATACAATGTGTCGAACAAGCTATCCAATATAAATGTTACCTTTTTCACATTAACATTTTGCCAACAACTTTCAGTACAGGTTCGTTATTAGTCACCACTTGAACAACATATTGCTCTCCAATTTCATCAACAACTTTATCTAACAACCCAAAATAATATTATTAGAGGCATCAATTGATTTGTGAAATATAGTACCTCTATTGCAGTACACTAATAAGTTGATGATGTGTTGTTGAGTTAGATTGCTCGAACCATCACACAAGATGGATACACCTCTCTTTGCCCAAATTCCCTTTAATGATCCTATCTATTCCGTGATTTCATCATGCTCCATACCCAAATATACTTCAGAAACTTCATAACCACTAGGACCCTTTACTCCTGACCTTACTTGTCACGACCCAAACCCGGCCCTATGGGTTTAGCACCGTAACCGGCCAGTAATCCGAGATTACCGAAGGCCTGCAGAACAGTGGAACAGTAAAACAGAGTACAGGGCCTGGCGGAAGCCAAAACAGTAAATAAACAATGTCCAATG